TATTTACGATAAAGCAAATGGTGGCAAACTAGAAAAAAGTTATCTTGGTAATGCGACTAATCCGGATTCACAATGAGTTTTTTGCACGGAAACATGTTATAGTGAATGATGAAATAAAAATGTTTATGATTGTTCGGAGTGTGGTCAGCAGAGATTTGGAAATTGTGCTTGCTGTGGCAAGCATCATTCTTGAAGCAAAAAAAACAACAATGAAGAGCATTTTTGTTCTTCAAAATGCGTTAATAAACGCTACCCTCCGACCTATGAAGAAGGAAAGATAGTGGCAATTGGCGGATTGGTGGGAAAAATTAGTGCGGCAGTAGCAAAGGGCTGCGATACTATCATTATTGCTAAAAGTAATTCCGCTGATTATCACCACACAGTTCCTTTATCAGTCCGAACCAAAGTAAAAAAACTATATGAGGCGAAACTTGACAAGACCTTTGAAATTTTGATTGGAATTTCTTTTTTTTCAGTATCTAAGGCTCCCGTAATCGCCAAGTTTTTTGGAATAGCGCCATTAGAAAAATAGGCACTAATCAGGGCTAGGAAAACTCCCGAGCCAGCTGAACCACCTGAAATAGTAGCATGATTATTTGCATTTAGCACATAGACATCATTTTCTCATTTATGACCTCGTCCTTTTAATTTTTGAATGGCAAAATGAATAACCGCATCGTTGTTATTGCGAGTGTCAGCAAAACCCTGACTTTGGTTAATTTTCATTCATTTTAAATCCTCAGCACAGGCATGAGGAGATTTTTTGAGAATTATAACCAATTCGTCACAAAAACCTTTTTCACCAGCCACTGCCAAAGTATTGATTACTCCTCTTCTTTTTTTGGCTTTTAAATCAGGAACCTCGCTTGCTTCTAAACCTCAACCTCTTAGTTCTTGAATATCTTTGTTAGAATATCCCTTTTTGATAAACCCTTGATGGGGGTCGTAATTATTTTGGTTTTCCTCTTCATCGTCATTTTCCTCATCGGTGGGGTCATTACGGTCTCTATGATTATCGTATTGCCCTTGCTGATTACGGCTGAAAAACTTCTTTTTTTTGGGCTTGGTTTCTTGTTGAGAAATTATCAAAGCCGCCATTACAAGAAGAATAATTGATAAGGTTATCCAATAACTTTTTTTATTACTTTCGTCTTTTTTCGTTTCCATCTCGGCGGTTTTTTACTTTTTACGCCGATGGACGATATATTTATTAGATGGTTTATTCTTTTTGCGAGTTTTTTTCCCGAGGGTTTTTTTTCCTCAGGGACTTAATGGAGAAGGATGACCGATACCGGTTTTCTGTTCTCCACCACCATGGGGATGGTCACAAGGGTTCATCGCTGAACCTCGCACCGTCGGACGAATGCCTCGTCAACGACTTCGACCAGCCTTGCCTAACCTCACTAAATTGGCTTCGCTATTACCCACTTTGCCAATG